AAAATACATTACGGCAAAGACTGGTTCATCCCAAAGATCCAGTCCCCCGGCACAAACAGAGTAATGTTGTGTATGCTGTTCAGTGTCAGGAGGGCTGTGATCAGTCTTACATCAGGGAAACTAAACAGCCACTGGCCAAAAGGATGGCCCAGCACAGAAGATCAACATCATCAGGCCAGGACTCTGCGGTCTACACTCATCTCCAGGCCAGCGGTCACTCTTTCAGGGATGAAGATGTTCACATCCTGGACAGAGAGGAACGATGGTTTGAGAGAGGAGTAAAAGAGGCCATCTTTGTGAAAAGAAATCGTCCATCGTTAAACAGGGGTGGAGGCCTCCGGGTTCAACTGTCCCCCTCTTACAATGCTGTGATTGCTAGTTTCACTCAGCCCTCTGTGAACAGTAAACAGCCATCAGTGTGCTAATGATCCATTGTTAGGCTGATGGTCCTTCTTGAGCATGTGATCAGCTAATTTTGGTTGTCAGCAGCAAAACTGGTTGATCCACTCTGAGAAGGTGCTATTTAAGAGACTGAGCTGAAAACAGCTCCTCAGACTGAGGAAGTCTCTCGGATGAGAGACGAAACGTTTCTACATTTTTTTGTTGATTTGCTTTGTTTTGTTTTTTTGAATGTCCAGAGGACCAGATTTAACTTTTTTAGATTTTTCTACCTGGATTATTGAGCATGCATCAGGATAGGTGATAGAAAAACTTCGCCAATACGAGGTTGGAAATTACAAACGGATGTAGCTCAGTTTATTTTACAGATATTATTCTGTGATGTAGACCAGAACGGAGAACATCTCAAGTTCCACCACAGTCCAGTTTCCATTGGTCCCCCTCACCCCACCTGACAACATACCAGGAAAAATACTCAAGCAATGTGCAAACCATCTTGCCCCTGTGCTTACAGACATTTTTAACAACTCCCTGAAGCAAGCCATTGTTGCAAGCCATTGTTCCCTCCTGAGGTAGCCACAATCATACCAGTGCCTAAAAACAAACAATAGCCTAAAATGACCATCGCCTTGTGGCTCTTACGCCCATCATGATAAATTGCTTTGTCTTGTTAAGCACCACATCACCTCTAATCTTACTCCCTCCTTTGACCCATTCCAGTTCGTTTACCGCTCAATAGAGGAAGCCATCACCTCAGCACTCCACCTGAGCCTGGAGGAGAACACCTACGTACGAACGCTATTTGTGGACTTCAGCTCAGCATTCAACACAATTTTCTCACAGCAACTGGCTACATCAGGCTCCAACACTTCCTTCAGGAACTGGATCCTTGACTTCCTCTCTGACAGACCACAGTTAGTACGAGTGGGGAGGAACACCTCGTCTTTTATCAGTCTGAGCATGGGCGTCCCCCAGGGCTGTGTTCTGAGTCTGCTTCTCCCTGATGACCTACGACTGCGTTGCCAGGTCTGAAGCCAACCACATCATCAAATATACAGATGATACCACAGTCATGGGCCTGATTAGCAACAAGGATCTTATCGGGAAGAGGTGGCACACCTTGTGAACTCAGCATGGGTGTCCCCCAGGGCTGTATTCTGAGTCTGCTTCTCCCTGATGACCTACGACTGCATTGCCAGGTCCGAGACCAACCACATCATCAAATATATGATACCACAGTTGTGGGCCCGATTAGCAACAATGAGGATCAGGCTTATCGGGAAGAGGTGGCACACCTTGTAAACTGAGCATAGGCATCCCCCAGGGCTGTGTTCTGAGTCCGTTTCTCTTTACCCTGATGACCTACGACTGCGTTGCCAGGTCCGAGACCAACCACGTCATCAAATATATGATACCACAGTTGTGGGCCTGATTAGCAACAACGAGAATCAGGCTTATCGGGAAGAGGTGGCACACCTTGTGAACTGGCATGGGGAAAATAACCTGGTTCTGAATGTCAACAAAAGAGCTTATTATTAACTTCAGGAAAACAAAACCACATCACATGCCACTGTTCATAAATAAGATAGAGGTGGAGAGCGCAGGTTCCTGGGGGTGCACATAACCAATCAGCTGTCTTCCTCAAGAAACACTGGGTTCCTAGTGAAGAAAGTCCAGTAGTGTCTGCACTTCCTCCATATGCCAAGATCCCACCCCCCACCACATTCTAAAGAACCACTGAGAGCATCATGACCATCTGCATCTTAGTTTGGGAAGGAAGCTGCCTGGCTGCAGACTGGAAGGATTTGAGGTGGTGAGGCCTGCAGAGAAGATCATTAAGTCATCCCTCCCATCCATCTAGATTAGAACACTGGTCTCAGATGCTGTCTGACTAGAGCAAATCAAAATCAAAAGACAACTCACACCCACAATATGGACTGTTTGTTGACCTCTGGCACTGTGTGCAGGCGCTAAGTCCTGTTGGAAAATTAAATCTGCATTTCAGCAGCAGGAAACATGAAGTGCGCTAAAACTTCCTGGTGGCTGTGTTGACCTTGGAAAACACAGTGAACCAACACCAGCAAATGACATGGCACCCCGAACCATCACCGACTGTGGAAACTTGACACTGGACCTCAAGCAACGTGGATTCTGTGCCTCGCCTCTCTTCCTCCAGAATCTGGGACCTTGATTTCCAAAGGAAATGCAAAATTTACTTTAATCAGAGAACATGAACCACTCGGCAGCAGTCCCAGGCAACATGCTTGACTGTCTCTTGTTCAAGAGTGACATAAAGGAATGAAACAGCTGAAACCCATGTCTTGCGTACGTCTGTGCATGGTGGTTCTTGAAGCACTGACTCCAACTGCAGTCCACTCTTTGTGAATCTCCCCCACATTTTGCAATGGATTTTGTTTCACAATCCTTTCCACGGTGCGGTTATTCCCATTGCTTGTACACTTTTTTTTTCTACCACATTGTTTCCATCCCTTTGTCTCTCTATTAATGTGCTTGGACACAGAGCTCTGTGAACAGCCAGCCTCTTTAGCAATGACCTTTTGACTTGCCCTCCTTGTGCAAGGCATGAATGGTCGTCTTTTGGAAAACTGTCAAGTCAGCAGTCTTCTCCATGATTGTGTAGTTTACAGAACTAGACTGAGACCATTTAAAGGCCTTTGCTAGTGTTTTAATTAGCTGATTAACCAGGTGTCTTCAATATTGAACCTTTTCACAATATTCAAATTTTCTGATATACTGAATTTGGAGTTTTCATTAGTTGTCAGTTATAATCAACATTAAAAGTGCACATTTGAAATATATCAGTCTGTGTGTAATGAATGAATATACAAGTTTCACTTTTTGAACGGAATAACTGATAAACCTTTTCATGATATTCTAATTTTATGACCAGCACCTGTATCATCTGCATCTAAGCTTATATTACTACCAAGAAATACTTCATACCAATTCATTCTACTTGCACAGTTATATTCTACCATATTGTCGTTTACTACATTTCTTTTGGACCTTGTAAATATATTTCTTTCTCACCTTTTGGTACTTTATTTTGTACCCTTATTGCATGCTTTAGTATTTCTTGTTCTTTTTTTTGTTTGTTTTTAGCTAGTCAAATCGGTTCTTCTCATCCGGAACATTTCACTGCATTGTTGACCTTGAGTTAACCTGCATATGACAAATAAACAACAGAGCATGTATCCACAGCAGAATTCATCTTCTGCTCTAAACGCCCGTCTATTACAATTCATGTAAATTATATCGTACACTGCTGTGGAGAAATTAAATAAAATTTAGTTCAACTTTACATGGTGCACTGTACAATTTTGAATGACAATAATGTTTATAAAGTAAAACGTTTTCATTCATGGTGCTCAGATTCGTTACGAGAACCACCGAAGCAGACTTGACATTGTTTTTATGCATTTGGCATCAATTTATTTGACTTCTGGGAACAAGGAATAAATCGATAAGCATTTTGCAAAAGATAGATAATTCTACTTTCATTTTTCTCTGGTTAAAAGACTAAAATCATGTTAGAGGCAGGAAGATCTTCATTAATTAATACACGTAGGCACAACTGTCAAGTCTAAAGAAGAAAGACGACTGCATCCGCACGGTTAGATCTTAACACAAACACCGACATCCTCTCTGAATGCCGCTGGAATGCTGAGGCGAAGCACGAGGACTGGATAGTCATCCTATACAAGCTGGAACAGAACAAGTTGGACTGGTCTTATTTACACGGTTTAGTTTTAAAAACGTGGGTGATAATACTTCAGCTCTCTGGCCCAAACAGGAACAAGAGATTCCAGTTTTTACTTCAAACGTTCTCTTTTTTTTGTGTAAAGACACAAAGAGGAAACAAATGTTCAAGCAGTGCAAAGTTGATGCTAATTTTTGACTTTAACAGTGATGGGAATGTGTTTAATAAGTGTGGAATGCCAAAAAAATAATAAAAAGGACCGGAAAATAAATTCACGCCCAAAGAATTAGAATGAAACAAACAAACAAAAAAGTACGAACTTCACGTGATTCAATCAGCAGACGCTGCGACAGGTGATCGGATTAGTTCCTGTACAGAAAATAAAATGATGAGGGAGGACAGGAGCAGCAGCCCGGAGCCGCTCTGAACGCCTCATGCAATCTGTTTCAGTTTGCTCGGTTTTTAGTGCGCGCGTTTGTTTCCCTTCTTCCTCCATTTTACCAGCGGCGGCTACGAACGACAGCTGCCTCGCCAGGTGTTTGCGCAGCTGACAGGTGAGCCCGCGTGCCGAGCAGACGCTGGCGAGCGGAGGGGAGAGGGAGGGCGGCTCTACCCGCTCTCCTCCTTCGCCGCCTGTTCCAGGGCGCTCTCTGAAGCAGCCGAACCCTCGAACCGCTGCGAGGCGATGGCGGCCTGGTGGGACATGCTCTTCCTCACCACGTCTCCTTTCCTCCACAGTGTGATTTCCTACAAGAGCGAAGAACAGAAAGTTAGAGGATTCGTTTTATTCATGTCGGTGTGAAAGTGAAAATCCACAAGTTTAAAAGTAAACATGAGCCTTTATGCGTCATTTCCCTACTTACTGAAACTTGTTTGTGACACGTGAAAATGACTACCGTATTTTCTGATGTATAAGACGCATCAGTCAAAAAAGGCACCATGAAGAGGGAAAAAAAACACAAGTTGCATTTATTATGAGTCACCGCAGACCCGTTGCGTTTATGAGTTTATTTAATGGTCAAAACAGCTTTATTTAGCCCGTGCGCGCGTACGTTCCTCCGCCTGCACAAGCCGAGTGAAGCGAGGGCGCATGAGACAACTCGCTGTTGTAGTTCTTTGAAATTTAAAGCGTCTGGCAAAAGCTGTTATGAATATGGGAGGAAAAGCATATAAGTCACTTCGGCGTTTAAGTTGCAGGACTGACAAATCTATGCAAAAAACTGCGACTTATATGCCAGAAAATACGGTAAATAAAACTTATGTTTATTATGTTTTTTACTCAAGGATATCGCCATTAATTTACCAGCGCAGTGCATTCTGGGGAGATGACGTTCAAACGTTGCAGTAGACTGAAACACAAGGCGTCGCGGCTAAAACGTTATAATGTATGACAATAAATATGTTGTTATGCACCACAAATGGGTCAAAACGATCAAACGTGATCAACTCGGGATGTTTGGTATATTACCTGCGACACTAACCACATTCATCAACTGTGGAGCCAACGAGTCTATAGAGAGGAAGTTCTCAGGTACAAACAAAAACCATAGATTGTTTCAGGAATAAAAACCGTTTTGTTTTTTTTCCAGCTAACATTTGCACAAAAACTTATCGAGCAGCTTGTAGGCACAAGAAGAAATGCAGCAACATGTTGCATTTTGAGAAACTAAAATCGTTAAATATTGTAACGGGACTATTTCCTTTAAAAAAAAGTGAACCTTTATCGCCGTGCAGTCTTGTGTTTTATGCCTTAAACTGCTTACTGGCTGTGACTTCAGCGAGGGTGAGACAAGTGTGCATTTGTAGTGAAAACTAAAAGCAGTTCTGCCGCTGGACGCTGCTGGGACAGTGGAGCAGTGACGACAGCAGCGGTGTCCGACTGGAGCTGCTGTCGTCCTGAGGGTCTGGAGTTTGGATCCACTGCAGCACGGACCGAAGGAGATAAAACACCGAGCCACGGGCAGCAACTGGATATCGTCACAAATCAGCCTTCTGAACTAAATACTGAGCTCTTAAAGTGTTCAATCATGTCTTCTCATCGCAGCACCTGCTGATTGTATCTCAGCTCGTAGCTCCAGCACACCAACAGCTCATATTGATCAGACGGAGCATTTTTAGATGACATGAGTTCAAAAGTTAATGGACTGTGGTGGATCCATTTTGGAAATCAATCTGTGCCCATGTGGTGGAACAAATGTGTTTTTGAGGTCAATACGTTCATCATTTTAGGTCAGCAGGAAGTACAGGCAGCGTTCGCTCCTCCAAACGTTAACTACCCAAACAGTTTAATAACAGACTTCAAAACATCAAAATATTAAGTTTTATAACTTCCTTTTTGCTAATTGCTGCCTTGTCTTCTTGAACTTCCTGTGAAAACAGTTTCAGGCAGAAACCGAGATCGTAGCTGCAACTATTGCACCTTTCTGCAGCGCACGTGGAGCTCGTTGTGCATGAAGTGTCTCATACCTGCTGTTTGAAGTAGCGCCTCTCCTCCTCGTCGATCAGCACCAGGTTCAGGTAGTAGCGCACAGAGAACTTCTTGTTGATTTCTCTCATGGTGGGAGTCAGATCGTAACCGGCCAGAAACAACCGGATGGGAATGGACTCGCCTGAAACACGTGGAACGAGCGATACGAACCTCTCAGTTAACAAAAAAAACTAACTCGTGTAGATTTTAGTTGTCGTGACAAACGAGCCGTGTTCACCTCTGACCGGCGCTCCGTCCATGATCTCGTACTTCGCGATGGTGTCGTTTTCGTGGTAGACACTCGGACCGGTGCCCGTCGTCTCACGCTTGATGATGTCGATCTCCATGTGCTTGATTTTAATCCTCACCAGCAGGAAGTAGATTTTTCCCACAATTACGTCCTTCAAATGGTACCTGACAGAAAATGTGGGATGGTGAGTAAAAAACAGGAACAGTGATGTTGATTAGTGAGCGAGCAAACTTGTTCTTTTCAATAAAGTCAATAAAAGTACAGTAGTCCCTCGATACTTCGTGGTTCGACTATCGCGGACTCGCTCTATTGCGGTTTGTGGACGTACAGTCCATATATTGGACAAAAAAAAGGTAAGACACAGTATTACTGTACAGTCCACAATCCTGTATCACTGTACTCATGTGGCTGTGAAAAAGTTGATGACAAAAATAAAATACTTCGGACAGGCACCGCTACTTTGTAGTTTTCTCTCAGTAATCCTCCACTGTATTCTCGCTCATGATGACCACATTTCCCAGAAGGCAACAGGGCCCCACCCTGAAACCCCATTTCCTTCTGCTGAAAAAAATTAGAGGGAAAGTTTTGATCTGATTGGTGCCCAGTGGATACAGAGAAGCTGCACTGAACCCACCGAACTGGACCAGAACAGGAGCAGAACCAGACCTCCAGACCCATCGGTCAATCTTGAGCTGGTAGCCCGCCCACGTGGACTTCCGAACAGATGTGCGTGGCCGATGATCTGGTGGTCCATCTGAAAATTAACGGGACTTTATTTCATCCGTTTCAATCGGCCGATGAGGACTTCTGACCAGGAACACGCCGGTAAGTAAAATCTAGTAGCTACCTATAAGTATGTTGCTAAAATTAGTAGGATTAAGAGTTTAGAACATTGATTGTGGGATGCTGCAGGGTCGGACCGGAAACAAAACGAGCCACTCCTGTTCCTCAGAGCCCAGTAAGTAAAATTTAGTAGCTACATACAGTACTGTAAGTAGTATGTTGTTAAAATGACGTAGGTTCAAGAGTTTAGAACATTGCAAGAGTGTGAGAAGGGTTTCTAAAGTCTTAAAATATATACAGTATAAATACTACAATAAATAGTATACCTTACCAACTTTGTGGGTTTTCTCTTATCACAGTGGAGTGTGGTCTCAAACACCCGAGATAAATGAGGGACTACTGTATATAGTTTTCCATCTAGTTGTTAAAACTTAACCCCAGTGTGTCATTCTTTAAGAAAACATCCTCATTCCCTTCATTTCTTGTGATTTAAATAAAATGAGCATAAACAATCAAAGCTGCAGTAACGACAATTGGTCAAGCATTTACAACATCGTTCAGATGGGTCTTACTTGGATTTATTATACTCAAACTCAATGTGGAGGCAGTCCTCGATGCCAACTTCCATCTTGATGGAGGAGTTGAGTTCAGGGTAGGTGCTCAGCGTGTGGACCACGATGTCCATCTCTTTAGTAATGTCATTTAGTCTCCTTATCACCGTGGCACGAAGGAAATACCTGAAAAACATTGACAGAGCAGGATAAAATATTGTTATGCTGATGATACTCAGTTTATATATATATATATATAGATATATATATATATCAG